CATGACGTGTTAGCAATCCAAATTATGCACAGAATTAGATATTTACTTTCCTTTGCATCTGAGAGAACCCTGACCCACTGGTGTTTAATCAGACCTTCCTTTCAGAGCTCTAGGTCCGCATCCTCCTAGGCCTGCCTTACCTTACATACTTAAGTCTATGTTTTTACTCTTTTTTTTTTTTTTTCGCTAAAACATAGGATATTTTACATATCAACTATACTTACTTATTTTGTCTATATAGGTTTAGAAAGGTTTTTTTACTGTCAATTTTACTCTTTGTTTCTTTACTACCCAATAGTCTATTATTTATAGAACTGCTTAGTTTTTTTTAAACTTCCCTAATATAAAATGAACGTTATTATCTACCTTTATCTGCCTCTCTGTCTGTGTTTATGTGTGCAAGTATTTCACATTTGATTTATTGCTCTATTTAAGCTTTGAATCACATTTATTACTTCCTTTAATATAGTATGCCATTTTGTTTCATATTATATTTTTCTTAAAATATCCCTTTCTACAATTTTCCTCAAAGGAGATGGAAGGAAGAACACTTGGCAGATGGCAAGGCCAGAGATTAATCTCTGGGTATCACTGACCATGATAGTAATTAGGCAATCAGAAAGGATGAGCTTTCCGAGGAATTTCATGTAAAAGAGCAGGAAACTAAAGTCTACGCCTTGGCTTTCCTAAAGCCACAATTATGTAACAAAGAAACCACCACAGGCAGAAAGAATGTAACTAACAGGACTAAAATCGTGACTGGGATAGGGATGTATAACAGAATAGAGATCAGCAACATTTTTTTTCTGAAAATGGCCAGATAGTAAGTATCTTATGCTTCGCCATTCATACAAGTTTTGTCTGTCACTATAGCATGAAAGCAGCTAAAGACAATATTTAGATAAATAGATATAGATGTGTTTCAGTAAATCTTTATTTATGTAAATTTGAATCTCATATGTTTACAAGTCATGAAATTGTAATCTTTCTGTTTTATATCAACCATTAAAAGATGCAGAAAACATTCTTAGCATCTAGACTATACCAAAACAGGCAGTGGGCAGAATTTGGCCTGGGGGTCCCTATCCACTGATCCCTGCTTTAGAAGAAAGAAAGAACATGTCATGAGTCATCATGTGTCTAAAACAATCAAGTGCAGCAAAAATTGCAAGCAATTTGAAATCAGGCATTCTCTCATATTCACATTTTTGTTTTCAAACATAGCTTTGCAAAATATCCTTCACACAGTAAGCGCTCAATAAATCCTTCCCAATAAGAACTAAAGTTTAATGATTAGAAATGCTAAGGCCACGGGTGACTTTGAAGACATCCCTTTTGAAAGAGAAAATATCATGAAACCCAGTTTAAAATATGATCAGTTTAGAGTGAGAGGCCAGGAAATAGAAATAATATTCTCTAAAGCTTGTTCAAAAGTCTGAAAAGACGATGATGATTGGAAGGTAAAGCCGAGTAATCTAATTAAAGTTATTTTACAGCTTGCTTAAATTCAGCTGGCGATGCACATGCTTGAACACTTGGAGACAACTAAAGTTATAAATGAGATGTTTTGTGGGACTTTCTGAAAGCAGGGGATAGTGGACAGATGTAAGATTAGAGACAGGGATGAGAAGATTGAGGCAGAGGAGTAAATCATTGAGCTGGATGTAAAGAAAATGGAGGTGCTCGTCACCAATATGTTTATCTTCTTTGTCAGTGACGTGCCAAGAGGGGGAATATGAGGAGAAAAGAAGGAAATCTGGAGATCTGAGGGAAAAGTATTTTAATCAGTTATCCATATAATAAATGAAAAGGGCAGTCTTAGTAGAAGACAAGTGGGTATATTATTCTTTTTGACTTACTTCGGTTTAGCAAATCAGGTACCACTAACACTATTTTCATTGGTAAATTAAAACTTACACCACTACTAGTAATATATCTTGTACTCTTTTAAACTTTGGGGAGAAGATGATACATACACAGGAAATATGTGATTAAATATGGAAATGACCTAAAGGGGATAAGATAAGTTCTAATTCTAAACTAGAATTGTATTTTTCTTATTGCCACACATCCTCATTAGTTCTAATATCTTATTAATTCCTTTTACCCTAAGTGGTAGTATACATTTCTATTAAAAGTGATTTAATGATTCTCTCTGATATAATTCCTGACCATTTTCCTTATCAGTATGTATTATCTTAATCTTATTTTCCATCTCTGGTATTTTTTATCTGCTTTTTATCCCATTAAATTCTTAATGTATGTGAAAAACATTCCTCTACAATTTCCATTCACAGAAATAAATATTAATTTATGTAATCTGAAAAGGAGGAGTGCTATTTTAAAATGGGAACTAATAGACTATAATAAGAAATAATGGCATAAGGCAAAGAAAAAGAGAAAACTCAGGTTGATTGTCAGGAAACTTGTAATGGCTTTGTAAACATGATTGTAAGTCTGGTCAGGGATGTCTTATGGAGACAGCATACAAATAGAAACTAATTCCCAGCAGAACAGTTTATTTTACTGTTGAATAGTTTTGTAGCAGACATAGGGGTGGAAATCGCTTCTAGTTCCGCAGTTTTCTGGCTAATACTTATGTGGTAGATCCCTCACACTTTTCGTTATTTTGGCAGGTTTTGTCAGTAGGTTTTTACATAACAGCAAAGAATTTGTAAACAATTTCCCTGTATACATAGCCTTTTGCCAACCTTAGGTCCCACTTTTTCCCACCTTTTCATGTCTTTCAAGTATGTATTTTATATAGTGTCTGTTTCTCACAAAAGATATTCTTTTCAACAACATTTGGTATACTTCTGAAGGAAAGTTTGTCATTGGAAACAATGTTTCCGTAGGAATTGATGAGTGAAAGGACAACACTGCACTCTGTCCTGAGCATGTGCTGAGGACAGATGTCTGCCTCCAGGCAGACAGAAGTGCATTACTCAGGTACCCCACTAGAAGTCACCTTGTAACGTTTGTGGTACATCCTATGAAATGGAGTTAATTTCACCACTCCAGAGCCACCTGAAACATCCATACATTGAATACTTAGTTTTCAGATTTTTTACTTATGACCTGGAAGCCTAGAGCAACCCGTGCTATTTAGAGAACAGTACCGTTATGTGTTCCTGAACCTTACTGGATCTTAAAAATTAATGGACACTTCAGCTTCTTTCTGACATAAACAGCAGACCACACACTGGATATCTCATTCCAAACTGCTGTGGTATTCACATTATTTTCTGAAATTTATGCAAATAAGAAAACCACCTATAATGGATGTGCCTCCTGAGAAGGGTTATATTGTTAGATATTCACTGTAGTTACTAAATGACAAATATGGTATATCTGCTATCAGTAATGTCTTTAAATAAAAATAAATGCATAGCAATGTGGATAATGAAAGTGTTGTTGATTCTGTTTCATGATTATTAAGTACCTATGGTGGATAGGATCACTGCTAAAAAACTGTTTTTATATAAATTAGAGAAGAAAGAAGATATTATTTAAATTTGGTTTAGGAGATAATACTGTTGATTCTGTTTCATGATTATTAAGTACCTATGGTGGATAGGATCACTGCTAAAAATCTGTTTTTATATAAATTAGAGAAGAAAGAAGATATTATTTAAATTTGGTTTAGGAGATAATAACTGATATATGCAAATCAATGAAATTAAACATTAGTTATTAATGACCTACGTAATAAATCAAGTGAAAAACTAGAAAACTGCTTATTGCTATTTCATTATCACTGTATAAATAAGTGTTTATCATTACACAAATATTTTATGTGCAGTTCAACAAATCTCTCTTCTTAGCGGTTTTTCTAAGTATAAGTAAATTGGGAGAATCACCAAACCAATAGACTAGTAAATAAAAGAAAAGGCTGAAAAAATAAATCATGACCTAAATGACATTTTTC